ATAAGTCTAAGTGCTATTGCTATTACAGGAATCAAAATGGGTGTGACTATGGCATGAATGACTGCGCGCATTCTGATCCAGAAAGGTTACAATTGGTGCAAAAGATGTAGCTGTGTAAAAGCCCTCCTATCCACAATTGCCAGCTATTCCTTGAACAGGAACTTGAATTTAGTAGAATTCCTCCTAAATTGCAGATCATCTCTGAGTCAAAAAATATAAACTCATTTAGAATCAAAGACTGAATTTCCCTGGAATAAACCCAAAGTCATTTGGTCTTGGAGAATCTTCAGTTGAAGATTCTTCCTACCCATCCAAATCTTTATTTCCTCTAGGCACTGGATCAACACTTGTACTATTATCATCTGTTTATCTTTTATCTTGTCTAGGGACAAGATGTATAACTGTGTATCACGCACATATTATGATACTAAACCATCTCTCAGAAGTTTCATTTAGATATTACAGATGAGCAAAGAGAGGAGAGTTCCTTGAATTATTCCATAAAAAGAAATCTCCACAAGTTCTTCAAGATGGAGGAAAAGCAGTGCAAAACTGCACTCTCTCTTCAATCCCTTGAAGACAAACCAAAAGGGTAACATAGCCAATAGAAGCAAAAGCCCCCAAAAGGTTAAGGAAGACCATGGGGGTTGAACTGGCCTGATTATGATCTCTTACCATCATGACTGATGTAGATTCTGTAATGTTACTCAGCCTAAGAGTGCCAAGGATACGAATTAATTGCTTTCTCTAGGATCCTCTACATGTTCTGGGATGAAAAGAACTGAATATGACTGTGTCAAAATCACTCAGTGAACTACATGGAGACTTAATCATCTCTGGTGAAAGTCTCATGCTAGAGCAGCAGTCTCCAAGCTTGGCAACTTTAAGTCTGACAGACTTCAACTCCCAGAATTCTCCAGCCAGCAAAACTGGCTGGGGAATTCTGGGACTTGAAGTCCTCCAGGCTTAAAGTTGCCAAGCTTGGAGACCGCTGTTCTAGCATGAGACTTTCACCAGAGATGATAAAAGGCATAATGTTTTATATTAGGTCTTTGTCATACCATGCATCTACATTTGCCTTCAAAACCAAGTCAAGGTTCTGCCTTAATGGCAGCATTTGATAGATAATTCTGAGTTAAATTACAAAGGAAGAGATTAAAATAGGTAAAAAGAAAAGAAATGGAAGAGCACGTAAATAATTTACAATTTGCCATTTTACCTAAAGGCTTACAGAACCCTCTAGTGTTCAGACAGTATATAAATTAAATATATCCAGGCTGACTTGCAATGTAATGATAAGCAGAAGAACTTATGGTATAACTACATCTGTGAAATACTAAAAATTCATGTAAAATAAAATTGGTTTAGAGAAGAGATATACAGATAGAAATGTGAATGAATTGATATATCAATATTTCCTATGATTTTTTTTCAGCTTTGTTTTGTTTGTTGCTTTAAGTGGAAAATTAAAAATGGAAACATTTCCCAAATATTTGTTTTAAGTAATAATTTATACAACAGTCCATGTCTTATATTTGCCAGTATTTTTCCATGCTGATCTGCACATTACAATAAGCATAATATGCATGAAATCTGACTCATCTTTCTTTTGCAGATCAGAATATTTCTTGATATGGTTAATTTAAAGTAATCCAATGCAAAATACTGTAATTGCTTTTTAAATATATTTTTCTATTTTGGATAACGCTATAAAGAAAATAGCTTCCAAAAACCACAGGTATGCATCCCAGTCCCATATGGAGAGTAAATATTTCTTTAAAACATTTACACTTACATAAAGTAAAAAACTTGGAGTATATATTCCCTTAATGAAAATAGGGATTTGTATATTATATTTAATGACTACAATATAACAAATTTCGGAGCTAGAAAGTCAAGTAGATAAGAAAGTCCTCAAAGAGTCACACATTTCCTGATGTACTTTATTAAAGAGTTTGAGGTTTAGTTTATCGGCAATAAATTATTCTATAATCCTTACTAAATATAATGCAGAGACACAGATACAGAAAATTGGCATTACCTAATTTGAGATGCAGTTATTCCCAAGCAATGAGGCACATATTTTTCGATGTAAAAACTAACAGGGCAAGCTATTATATACAAAAAATATGGGCCGCAAATCCTATATTCACTTGGACTGATGATGTTAGCTAGTTGGATAATGAAAAGCCTGCAAGCAATAACCGTGCTCAGAAAGCAATGAGAACTCCACAATTCAACCAGGAGCTAGATACATTCTCTTCTATTGGAAGTACATATTTTTATTGCTACCATTATCTTAATAGCCTATTTAATTAGGACATTATGCAGGCAAAGTATGTTCCCCATCACTGAACACTGAGCAGTTTCCAGGTAATAGAAGATTTCTATTTGATCGTGGCAGGTAAGAAAAGGTAGAGTGGGAAGAAGAGTATATGGCTGATTAGAAGTTGAACTGCCAGCCAGTATAGCTCTTACATCCTTTCTCCAATGTCTATGTTCTCCCAAATCTAAAGAGGCAGATTCACCATTCCCAATATAAAAGAATCTTAAAATCTTTCTACGAAGACCCAATCCATATAAAATAGTAGTTCCAAGTAATGTCAATCAAATATGCTTCCTGTGTCATTAAAAATGCTACAGAAATCAGAAAGCAATAAGGAAAACTTGCTAGTTGTTCATCTTCTTAAAACGTAACCAAAAGAACAATCAAAGCAATACAACAGAGCTTTGTTTAATCACGTATCAATAAAAGGACTGATAAAAAGAAATGCAAAGCAGGATTACGTTATATCACAGGTTCATCTTAATGATGCTAAGGCAGGGGTGGGCAAATTCTGGGAGTTGAAGTCCACAGGTTCTAAAAGGGCCACATTTGCCCACCCCTGAGCTAAATGATAAGTGAGATGTGGAGTTCTCTTTCAGAATAGGTTGAGATATTTTGTTAGTTTTTAACACAAAAGTGACCTCTGACATTATAAAAATAAAATGCTCCCAACGGATTGTGTTCTACTCAAGCATAAAATCAAGCATAAAACAATTGTTCTATTTAAAGAAAAGAGGACTGCCCATAGATTAATGTTTTAATTCATAATATGCAATATGAAATTCCTTTAGTAAATAGTACGGTTGCACTTTTTAGCCTTCCAGAGTTGTATTTTCCTATTTTTTTTAAACTTCCTCTCTTTTTTCCTGCAAGTGCAGGGTCTGCTTTTTTGCAGATCAACTGAGTGTTGGTCCATTAATTGTGACAGGAATTAATGACCAGCTTGTCACTCTAATCTAAAAGAGAATGGCCCAAAGTCACCCACCCAGCTTTCATGCCTAAGGCAGCACTAGAATTCACAAACTCCTGCTTTCTACCCTGGTGCCTCAATTCTACTTCTATAAATATCTCATTCTAATATACTTGCATTTTAAATGACATTTTGGGAGAAGTTGTGTCAATAGAAACATTTCAGAGTGGAGAAAGAAAAGAAACTGACGAGAAATGTAAATACTAGGGTTCTGAAGTGCTCCAGATCTGAGAAGTGCTTTGAAATAGGCAAGAGTATCAAACCAAGAACTTAAAGCAATTGCTATTATTTGTAGGATTTTGCAGTTGTAGTGATAGCCTCCCTGCAGAAACTATGCAATCCTGGAGAACAAAATTCTGCTTTAATGATAGGTGTATATTCAGATTATAGCCTATTTAGAAGCATCTCTTCCAAACTAAATCCAGAATTTTCACTGCCTTAATGTTATGCCTGAATTAGGTGTCCAAATGCTTTCGTTCCCAGGTTCTGAAAAACATTTTCGTAAATAGAAGCTAGTCTTCTTCCAAATTACTGAATTTGAACATGTAAGCCATCTTTCATCTGCCTAGGAAGGAAAGTTAAGAAACTTCCAACTTGGAATTTTATGCATGTTACCATTTACTTTTAATGGTATTAATAATAAAGTCTACATAATTATTCAGGCTTGAAGGATCAGTAGAGGCATATTTCACCAAGTGAAGAGAATGAAGAATATAATATGAGACCTTTCACCTTTTCAATTAGCACTTGCCAAAGCAAAGGGCAGATCACATGGAAAAATAGTCCGTGGACTGTAGGTTCTTCCATACAGAAGCATCAAAGTGCCATTATTCTCTGCAGGAGCTTGCAGAAAAGTATCATGCTAATTTAGAAAAGTACTCACACTGCACATACGAAGTGGGAGGGGGACAAGAAGGTAGGGTGGAGTAGGGAGCACCTCTTTCACTGCCAGTTACTATTTGCAGAGCCATTGCCCAATGCTGCCCCACCCCTGCTCTTCTCTGGGATTGCTGGAAAAGTGAGAGGAGAGGAATAAGGTCTCCTGCTATCAGTTCTGCTATCAGTTTGTGGGATCAGAGAACTAAAGAGAAACCAATTAGCCCCCTCTCCCTCATCCTTTATTTTGCCACTCAAGGCAGAAGAGAGAGAGAGAGAGAGATAAAGACCAAATGAGAATACAATACTTATGAGGAACATAGAAATGGAGCTCAGAGTCCTACTAGACCTAAGAACAGGCCTTTATGAAGGGATCCTAAGTATAGATCATATAATAGATATCAATTAATTTGGGGTTATTAGGCTTAGAGCGTAACTAGTTGAAATAATGTCAACATAATTTTGTTTATAATTGATTAGTTACCTCAGAGATAAAAACATCAATTAACATTAATTTATATCTATTCTCTACACTGACTAGAGGAGTTATAAATAAGCCTTATGAGTTACAAATAAAAATGTAATTTTGGAGAAGCAGAATTTCCAGTTTTAGAGAATAAGAAATATTAGTTAATATCCAAAAAGATTGAAGCGGAACCATGGGGACCAATGTCTCTGAGCACAGTATTTCAAAACCAGGATGAAATCACAGAAAAAATAATTCCTGATCGGTCATAGAATACTATCACAAAATTATATGATTTTTGGGAAAGCAATTATTGCCTTAATTAGAAACATACTTCTCAAGGGTATTTGATAATAGCCTACCTCATTGTCTGACTCCACAAGTACTTGATCATATTCGCTAAGAGCTACTAGAAACATAATGGAGGTGACATTTTCAAAACAGTGTATCCATTTTCTTCGTTCCGATCGCTGACCCCCCACATCCACCATTCTGGAATAGGAGCAAAATTCATAGAAATCAAAACAATGTACAAATTCTAAAATGTTAGGGATGTTTTCATTATTATATTATTTATATGCTAGGTCTCAAGGATCATGACAATAGAATGAACACATCTACACTTCAGCATTCTGCAAATATTTACATTGACAGCAGGCATACATTCTGGTGGTGCAGTGATTAGAATGCAGTATTGCAGGCTAACTCTGCCTATTGCCAGGAGTTCAATCCTGACCAGCTCAGGTTGACTCAGCCTCCCATCCTTCCAAGGTTAGTAAAATGAGGACCCAGATTGTTGGGGGTAATATGCTGATGTTGTAAACCATTCAGAGACTGCTGTAAAGTACTATAGAGTTGTATATAAGTCTACTATTCTGCTTTGAAGGGACATCCAGATAAATGAGATATGTAATGGTGTAGAAACCAACCCAGCAACAATTTAATATTCCTGAACACCATCATTCCAGAACAAATTTATTGCATAGAGGTATAGATACTGTTGACAGACTGCTACCAGTCATACTGATATCAAATCAGTATCAGCCTTTCTCTTGAAAATATAAGCCAATTAAGTCTTATAATGGCTTAAATCAATGGTAACGGAACAAATTAGGGGCACTGATAATCAGAGTGGTTATCACCAGTGTTCCTGAATTTTATCATCAAATATTAAACTGCCACAAGCCTACCCTCGTGAGGCATTTATAAACTGTAACTTAGAGTAAATATAGATGGGCTATTTCTCAAACCCATTTAATGTTTTTCCTCCTGGATTGTGGATTTCATAACATTCCTTATCCCCAGAGACTTTGCATTTATGGCTCTAGGAAGGTAGAAATTTTTGTTTTGCTTATATGACTCCCTGAGAGGTGCTTTGCTCTTCCAAATTATTTCCAAATTTAAGGGACATATAGACTAATAAAGCCAAATAACATGTTTACTAACAAGAGGACTCTCTTTTATTTTGCTTCAGGACTACAGTTAATGAAAATCAAAATAAAAAACTTCAAAAACGTTCTTTAGATTATACATTTATATAGAAGAGGCACCATTTGTCAAACTTTGTATTTCAACAAATCTACGAATGAATTTCAACAAATCTACAGATGAACAGAAATTGATATAGCCGCTACTATTATACAAGTTAAACACATTTTTAAAAATAAGTGTAATTATTAAAATTGAAACAGGAAATTGAAATTGTTCAATATAGGCAAGAGTCCAATCTTTTCCAGAGTAACTGCAATAGTAATAATCTTTTATGTATAGTGACAGAATAATGAAGAAGGGGACTTCTTATAAAGACATTATTATTATTTTTTCAGTTTATGTTCTTTACACAAGATGAAGCAGAATTAGTAGTTAGGATATTTATAAGAATTGGTGGATTCGATCTATAAATATATAAAATACCATTTGTCTGAAATTTATAGAGTAAATTCATATCTTAACACTAACAAAAGCATGTTGTTTATGACTTAACACAATACTCTGTTTTGCATTCTCCATTTTTGATCAGTGTAAAATATTGATTTAAACAAGGAACATCTCAGAGGTTGAATTGTTTTGCTTGAATTGCTACTACTAAGCCAAAAGAAGAAAGGGAGTGGGAGAAAAGAATACATTTCCAAAATAGCATTTTCTATTGGTACAATTACTTAAATATATTTTTATGCTCCTGGTAGGAAAACCCCCTCCCCCAAAATAAACTCCTCTGAAGTAGCACTATAAAGATAAAAAACCTTTTATCTACCTGAAAATAACACTTTGTAAGTCAAATGGGTATTCAATGATTCCTGTAGTTGGAACTCGAACTCTAAGAACATCTTGTTGAGTGGGTAGATATCCAGGGCCTGCTATGCGGTCCAAATCGTTAAGATAACTATAGATAGAAGAGAAACATCAGGAATGAAAGGTAATGCTCCACTGACAGAAGGAATTATATAAAGATAAAAAAGCAGAAGTGTTTGGATAGGGCACACTTGGAAAAAACTATTGAAAACAGAATTTTATAGCAGAATAAAAAAAAAGTTTGTATAGTTTTTGTAACTTTTACATTGTTACTAGAATTTTTCATTATCTCCAGAATATTCGAAGCATCAAGGGTGACAATTTAAAATGTGTTAACTTGTCCTGGCAGTCTTATTGTACAAATTATGTTTCAGTGTGAAAGAGATGTGGATTGGTAAGATTCAAAATCAAACGCACGTGAAGTGAATTGGATCAAAGTGCTGAATTCAATATAGAATAGTTGTTCGCTACAGTGAGGTTCTGCCTTAAACATAAAAGTTTTGTGTTTTCTTTTTCTATAAATGTACATCTAGCAGTGGCATTAACAAATAAGTTTAGTTATTGTTAAAACAGGTTCACTGATTTATATCATTGCAATTTAAGTTAATTATGGTTCTTGAGATGGTTCACCATCAATTGGCTCAATGCAAATGTAGTAGGACAAATGATCACATAACTGTAGTTAAGTAATATGAATTTCTCCCCAATTTCCATGCTATTCTATACACACTGTCATTTCATTTTCACTGGCATTTTAAGGAACTGTGATCCTATATTACCTGCCTCTCGGCAGATCACTTACTTAACAAAACAGCATTTAGAATAGCATCTCAGCTATTCTATTCTGTTACCACTTGATCCTAAGCAGCTTGCCAGATCTTTATAGCCAAGATCAGCTCTCTGCTTTTCTATAGTATCAAAATCTGTACTGTAGTTAGACAAATCTCAACGTTCTTGAAGCCGTTAACTCTTATTAGAGCTATCCTTGCAGCCCCAGCCCCGTGATGAATTAAGAATGCTGCTCTACATTCAAACAAAGCATGGTCTCTGTGAATGCTAGACTTTGAATTACCTTTTTAACTTTTGGCAAATGTTAATTTCTTTTTCATGGGTCTGCTCCCTCTGATTCTTAGAGAGCACTTTAAATCAACTTTGTTAAAAAAAAAACATTGGCAAGCTTTCCTCCTTAAAACTCTTAAGGAAAGATGTATTCTTTCAAAGACTGAAAGATTAGGCTTCCCAAATACTGGATGTATCCTTAAGCAGTGTATTTGGGACGGTGATCTTCAAAGCAAAATGTGGTTCCCAATTTCGCAACACAAGGGGTCTTTCCAAGTGAGTAAGTGACAGCTTCCTATCTCTCCTCTCAATCCTGAAAGTTTGCCAGGCCATCCATTTTGCTCGGCTTGATGCACAAACTCTTGCTGTTATAGCGGCGTACTATAAAATTACTCTCCCACATTAACACATATATCCTCGGGAGGGTGGGGTGTCAGTAGAATTCTTCAGCCATAGTCTTCTTCATGGCTGTCTACAAGGAATTCTAGTTGGCTTTAATGTATTCCATACTGAAGAAATTCCCTGGTAGAAAGCATGATTTCCATTTGTTGCTTATCCCATCCTGTTATTATTTGGCTGTATCTTTCCAAGTTTCTTCACTTGCATGTAAACCAGCTGACTGCCCTTGCATTTGAAAATAGATACTGAATTCTTCTGTCAACCTCATGTCTCTACCTTTATCTATATAAGCTTTCTAAAAGATAGAAAGCAGCAGGTGAAGCTAGGTAAAATCACACCAAATGCCCGTATAATTAGAACAGGCACCGCCAGGTCTATGTGCTCTCTCCATTACTCTTTTCTCTCTATGCCAATGATTGCATCTCGAAGGATCCCTCAGTTAAAGTACTGAAGTTTGCAGATGATACAACAGTGATTAATCTCATTTGAGACAGTGATGAATTAGCACACAGATGGGAGATTGAACAACTGACCCTGTGGTGCAGCTGGAACAATCTGGAGCTAAATACACTTAAAATTGTAGAGATCAAAGTGGATTTTAGGAGGAGCCCTCCTGTTCAACCACCTCTTACAATATTAGACAACTTAGTATCAACAGTAGAGACCTTCAAGTTTCTGGGTCTTATGATCTCCCAGAATCTGAAATGGACACCTAACATTAGAACCGTCATTAAAAAGGCGCAACAAAGAATGTTCTTCCTGAATCAACTCAGAAAGTTTGGACTACCCCAGGAGCTGTTGATATAGTTTTAAAGAGGAATTACTGAGTCTATAATTTGTACTTCTATAACTGTCTGGTTTGGTACAGCAACCAAACAGGACAGAGACAGACTTCAATGGATACTTAGGACTGCAGAAAAAAACAACTGCAATTAGCCTGCCTTCCATCAAGGACCTGTATACTGCACAGGTCAGAAAGAGGGCTGAGAAAAAGAGAAACCGGAAGCATCGCAGTGAGACTGGCTGGAAAATAGCAGGCTTCAATAAGCTCCACGAAAATCCAGCCGGACAAACTGTTGTTGGGGGGTCTTTGGACCAGAACCGTCCTGTAGGGACAGGGAAGAAGGAGAGGTGCCTCGGACGACCAAGAGGAACAGGCAAGTTCCTCGAAAGGTTGGAGACAGCTCTTTAATGGTGGGTTGGCGGCCATTAAAAAATGACTGCTCTGAAGCTGGGGCAAACAAGATTTTTGTGGAAGAGAGATGTTGGAAAAGAGTGGTGATACTGGGTGAGTGATTGGCCAACTCACAGGTAAAAAAGAAAATTTAAAAAAAAAAACTTTAAAGGTGTCCCGGAGCGGAAAGAGCAGCTAATTGGCACTTGGGAATTTTAATGGAGAGAGAAGAACAAAGAGGAAGTTAAAGTACTAAAGCCCAAGAAAAAAACCTTTATAATTGGATTTAAAATTGGATTTGGAGAAATTAAAATTAATAAGAAAATTAATAAGAAAAAGAAACCTGAGGGAAAGTACTTTTTATGAGGATTTGAAATATTTTTGATAGTTTTGACACTTGAAGGAAGAACAAAGAGGAACTTAAAAGATTAAAGCCCAAGAAAGGAAATTTTATAACTGGACTTTAAACTGATTTTGGAGAAACTAAAAATAATAAAAGGAAAAGAAATCCGAGGGAAAGTATTTTCTATGTAGATTTAATATACTTTTGTAAACTTGATACTTTGTTGTTCTGAGAACAGTTTGGATTGGAGACATCTGCTGGTAGAAAGCAAGCATTACAAGACTGGCCTGTAAATTGAAGAAAATAATAGCAGTGACCTTGACTACTAAAAGAAACTGTGAGAACTTTTAAGGAGTATTTGTTTTTTTTTAAATTGCTTGGTCTTGACTTCCAACGGAGGTAGAAAATAACAAAGCTTTAAATTGGAGTGGATTGGACAAACATTTGAACTGGATATTATCTGGAAATAAAAAAGAGACTAAATGGACTTTAAAATCTTAATTAAATATAAGCTAAAATATTAACAATTTTTTAAATTGACAATATGGAGTCTTGGATGTGTGAGGAATTAATTGAGATGTTTAAAAACATGCATGAATCATTAAAGGGCAACAAAAAGTCAGAAATTTTGCTAGAGCACACAAACAGGAAAAAGAATATAAATGAGAACAAGAAAATAATACTGAAGGAAAAGGAATTGAATGTAAAAAGTTAAGATGATTACAGTAGGATTTACAGTGGCAAAAAAAGAGTGGATGGGGGGAATATCAATCAATTAAAGGGAAGAGAAGGAAATGGAAAAAGATTAGGAAAAAGTTTCGGGAGAATTATGTGAACAATAGACCCAAAAATTGGAAAAGGATTCAGGAGAAAAGATACAATAAATATAAAAAGAAAAAAAATAAAAAGTTAAGAGAATGGGATGAAAGAAGAAAATTATTAAGAAGTGGAATTTTGGAGAGACCAAGAGAAAATGGATAAAAGGGAAAGAATAGTGGAAAGGAGGAAGGTATATATTAATAGATCAAAGGGAACTGTATTAATATTATTAATTGTGAATGAAGAAGCGAATATGATGATGTATATTGTTTATTGTAAAACAGAATAGCAGATGAAATATGAAGTGGCAATTTGGTTCAATTATGAAAATAACTGAAATCAAGAGACAAAATTGAAATGATAAAAAGTGCAATGGGGATTTTGAAAAAACATGTTGTAAATGATGAAATAAAATAATTGATGCTATAGTAAGAAATCAGGAATTAAGGGCGGATAGCGATATTGCTTATAATGTACTAAGAAGAGATTAAGATAAAATGTGCAAGGTTAATTAAGTTAAAGGGTTTCAGTGTAAGAATTGAATATGATGAAGCACATTGTTTATAGACGAAAAGTGTGATGGGGATTCTGAAAAATATATTTTATAAATGGAGAAATAAGATAATTAATTGATGTTATGCTAAGAAACTAGGAATTGAAGAGCGGATGGTGATATTGTTTATATAGTATGTATTTAGAAGAGATTAAGGTAAGATAAAGAAGTAAGGAAAAAGAATATTATAGCTGAAATTGAAATATGTAAATTGTATTTGGAAAAAACAAAAAGGAAGATTGGAATAGACTATAAAAATCAAAATATAACTATGTTATAAGATGTAGAAGACCTGGTCAACACTCTGTTCATAAAATATGTATGTAAAAGAAAAATTTAATAAAACTTGATTAAAAAAAGAAAAAAAGAAAGGGGGCTGAGAAAATATCTACATACCCCTCACATCCTAGACATAAACTGTTTCAACTCCTCCCCTCAGTACGTTGCTATAGGGCAGGGGTGGGCAAATGTGGCCCTTTTACAACCTGTGGACTTCAACTCCCAGAATTCCTGAGACAGCCAAGCTGTCTCAGGAATTCTGGGAGTTGAAGTCCACAGGTTGTAAAAGGGCCACATTTGCCAACCACTGCTATAGGGCATTGCAAAACAACTAGACACAAAGATAGCTTTTTCCCTCGTGCCATCACTCTGCCGAACATCTAATTACCACAGCACTGTCTTATATCTACGGATATTTACCCACATTATATGGCTGCTTTACTGTTATCCTTCTCATCTTTTCTACTATCTTCTCCTTATGATTATATACCTTTGCATGTAAACTGAGAGACAAATTCCTTTGGTGTCCAATCACACTTGACCAGCCCCTTCTCTTCTGTTCTCTTGTCATCATCTCATCTGGCTGGTTTTATTTGATTACTGGCCTTAGAGTAATAATAAAGGTTTGACTGACTGAATTGAAACTATTTTCATTATATTGATTCCATGGTTTTTTTCTCTTCAATGATCTCATGTTCCTCAGGTATCTTAGTAGAACACAACATATATGGGTTTTTGGTTAGGAGCTTGGCTATAAGTATAAATGTTTTATGATATTCTATGTTTTTATTATTTTCTGTTTTGAATTGCTTAGGGTCGCAAGGTATACAGAACGTGAAAATGGAGATGTCACCCAGAAGCTGTAAAGACGAGCAGTGAAGAAATGTGTACTACGGCCAGGGAGGCACTAAAACATAAAAAAAAAAAAAACACCAAAAAAAACCCCCTGATACTGGCTTCCCCGACAGTATTAGATATGAGCAAGGGAATGGAAATCACAGGGGTTTTTGCAAGTGCTGTAGAAAATAGCCTTGTTACTACAGTGCTGTTACTACAGTACTGTAGTACGACAGTGCTTACTTACTACTACAGTGCTGTAGAAAAGAGCCGTGGTGACACAGTGGTTAGAATGCAGTATTGCAGGCTAATTCTGCTGACTGCCGGCTGCCAGCAGTTTGATTCTCATCAACTCAAGGTTGACTCAGCCTTCCATCATTCCGAGGTTGGTAAAATGAGGACCCATACAGACAATACAGGTAGTCCTACAACAGTTCCTTTAGTGACTGTTCAGTTACATCATCACTGAAAAAACTGACTTATGACCATTTTTCACACTTATAACTACTGCAGCATGTCCATGGTCACGTGATCAAAATTCAGACACTTGGCAACTGATTCATATTTATGACGATTGCAATGTCCTGGGGTCACATGATCCCCTTTTGTGATCTTCTGACAAGCAAAGTCAATTGGGAAGCCAGATTCACTTAACAACAGTGTGGCTAATTTAACAACTGCAGCGATTCACTTAACAAGTGTTGCAAGAACGGTTGTAAAATGGGGCAAAATTCACTTAACAACTGTCTCACTTAGCAACATAAATTTTGGACTCAATTGTGGATTGTAAGTCGAGGACTACCTGTATGCTGACATTGTAAATCACTCAAGAGAGTGCTGTAAACCATTATGAATTGGTATATAAGACTAAGTGCTATTGCTATAGTCCAGTGATGGCTAACCTTTTTGCCATCGCGTGCCCACACCCATAATTCTATGTGCCCACTGGAAGTTGGCAAACAGGCCGTTTTGGCCTCCGGAGGGCCTCTGGGGAGTGGGGAAGGCCATTTTTGCCCTCCCCAGACTCCTAGAAAAGCTCTGGAGCCTGAGGAGAGAGAAAAACGGGACACCCCCCCCCGAGGCCCTCCGGAGGCAGGAAACAGCCTGTTTCCCTACTTCTGGTGGGCCCAGAAGGCCTGAAAATCAGCTGGCCTCATTTGCCCACCGATATGACTACGCATGCCATAGGTTTGCCATCACAGCTACAGCCTGTCTCAAAAAAGTATAGTTCTAGTCTTCTTCTGAAGTCAGTTCCCTGATTGGTCTACCTTGTAGGAATGGAACAAAAGTGAGATGGATTGTTGTAAACATTAAATAAATAAATAAATAAAAACAAGTGAAACAAACAAATAATGGAATTTACGCTGCAGGAAAGGAGATACGGGAGCAATTTTGACTCTTGGTATCTTATAGATACCTACTATACTGATGTATTTGTCACATATTAAATCATAGACATAACATACAACACAGGAAGAACACATACAACACATAAAAACGTGCCAATCACATACACTGCTGTTCTTCCCATTCCATCAGTTTTGATAGAAAATCTTTGTATCTCATGTACATAGAACATGAATTGGACAAATTTCACCGCAAAATAATTATACAAACAGCCATGCATGACAAAGTACTCAGAGGACAAAGTAACTAAGTTATATACTGGCAAGATTGGGATTTTAAATGAAATGATTACTAAGCATAAATCTAAACTTAAAGGTCAGTAAATGAATGTACATTTGGAATATTTCAATTAATACAGGAATTTTCAGAGAAAGCTGGGAGGTGGTTGACCACAGATTTTACTGTACTGATTTGTGTAATTTTTCTACAGATACAAATTTTTGTATTTTGTATCAGAAACTGGTCTACATATCTTGTCCTTTTTCTTTGGCATGTCATATTGGGACAGTGCTCCTTTTTGCTATGGATGTCTGATACATGACACCAGCTTCACTTTCCTGAGCCTGTTTCATTATGGATTCAGGTGGACCAAGCTGGAATAGATCAACAGTATCCAATTATTCACTCGAGATGAGTCGACTAAAAATATGCTTCCGGCTCATCATAACTGCATCAATTATGTTATTTTTGTAACTGATGCCCAGATTGATCTCCATCCTCAATTCAATTCAGCTGCCAAGCAGGGTGACACATAATACAGTCTTCTCCCTGTTAAATGAAATCACAGGGAGCTATATTTATCCTCAGGAAACTAATGTATATGGGCATAAGTCTAACTGCTAAATTTCAATTCTAATGTAGGTGAGAAAGAGAAAGAAATACATAGGCAGAGAGAACACACAGATCTACTGGTAAGTCAATGTATCATCTCAAATTAGCAGATCTTTAAAATAATTTAACTTTAGCATTAAAATATTTATTTAGCTAAACTGAATTCACGTATATTAATTCACTGGATTCACGTATATTAATCTTCACTATTAAAGAGGCATATACTGGTAGTTACATTAAGTTGCTAAAAATCAGGCTTCTGGATCAAGAACCTAAATTTTTTTGTCTCAATTTAAGATAATTCCTTTTGCAGATGCGAATGCTTTCTTGGAATTGGATAGTCTTGCCCTGCTTTTCAAATATTTCTAGCAAAATGATTACTTTATTGTCTTATTTAAGAAGTTCTCAAGCTGTGGGTTACATTCTAGGTAGCTGTAAGCAACTGGCAGATAATAACAAGTTATCATTGTTTAAAGCTGTGACCAGGCTTCTGCAGGAAAAGTGAGACCAATGTCAACCCTCATTCCCACTTTGTCCAGAGAAGGCGGTAATAAGCTTGCTCAGAGCAAGAGCAGGGGAAATTCTAAGAAACGGTTAACCCCACTAGAGCTGTGATTGGTTCATCATGGCATCTGGAGTATATCCATAGGCGTTGGAATTTCTGTAGAACAGCGTTAATGAAGTGAAGTTAGTGAAGTAATGGTTTTATCCATTATTTTAAATTTATATTATTTTAAAACAGGAAAATATGGGAGCTTTTTTACATTTTTACTGAAGAAGCACAGCATTTAATATAACAGCCAGATATAAACTAACCCTCCCCACCAGCATAAAACTAAGACAGGAAAAAAGAAAAGAAAAAGAAATAGTAGTTATACTATGGGAATACATAATTATTTATATAGGGAAGCCTTGATTTAATGGACTAACTTGGGGAAAGTCCATTATTCCTCAGGGTCTGTAATAATAAAGCATGTGTCATCACAGCAATTGAAATAATTTGTGTGACAACAACATAATGTAAATCAAAGAAATTGACACAATGACATCATCACATAAATGATAAAGAAAAGATAGAAACTGGGCTCACTATCGACTGTAATGCTACCACTATTTTTTAATTGTATTTTTTTACTTATTTCCTGAAATGGATTAAATTGTTGAAAAATATATTAAATAAATTATTTTGTCAAAAAATTCCACTGAGATTCACTAAGATCGAACTCTTAATTCCCAACTTTTTTCATGTCTTTCTAAAGTACCTGGAAATATCAAATATCAATGTGTATACTGCTAAAAGAGCCTTGGTAGTACAGTGGCCTAAAGCACCCTGTTATTAAGACCAGCTGCCTGCAATTACTGCAGGTTCGAATCTTGCCAGGCTCAAGGTTGACTCAGCCTTCCATCCTTTCTAAGGTAGGTAAATTGAGGACCCAGTTGTGGGGGCAATAAGCTGACTTTGTATAAATATACAAAAGGATGAAGGCTTAGCACATTGTAAGCCGCCCTGAGTCTCTGGAGAAGGGCGGCATATAAATCAAATAAAAATAAATAAAAATAAATAAATAAAACCATTTCTCAAATATTTCAATGAACTTTACTGATACATTTTCTGAAGAATTTAATTTCTCTGAAATTAAATGAGGACTTGTTTCCATTCTATCTACAATACATTCTGCAGTAATTGATTTAATAGCTATGATTGGGACACTAATTCAGGAAAGCAATCTATCCTCCTATTCTTCAGAGAAGTGAACGAATTCCTCCTCTTATTGAGCATTGCATGATCAAGAATTGGGATAAAAAGAGGCAGATTAGAGGCCAATATGTGTTTCTGTATTATTCAAGGTTCTAAGGACAATTTTAAATACTATATGAACTTATCACTGACGCAGTGGGTATGAGTTCGGGCAGACTCAGAGAGATGGGTGTGTGTATGTGTGCTATGGTCTATGGGGTCATGAAGAGTCAGACACGACTTAGCGACTGAATAACAAATGAACTTAGACTGGTAGTTACTAATTTGCTATTATCCAAATGAAATTGAATAGCTCTGATCAAAATAAAAGTGTGGCAGTTCAATTGGTTCCTTTGTATATTTGATGGATGATAAACAAGCTCACTATGACAAATCTATCAGATTGGTTGGTAGAAGTAAATCTATACTAAGAAAATACAATGGAAATTGCACATCTTTCAGTTAGATTTTGGCAAGAAGCAATATACCACTAACTTGAATGAAATAACTGGTTTTTTTCATGGGAGAAGGCTGCACAAATTCATTTAGCATTTTAGGGGTTGTACCCGGTAGTATTGCAAAGCTTGAGTAAATGCCTTACTGTTTTGAAAACTGTCTATTCTGTGTCATATACGGTGTGCTCCCAGAAAAATCTGGATAGACTTACAGCCAAAATGGATGCTAGCAAATTTCTAGGTTATGCACATATTGCACAATTGTGGAACTACAATAGGTCAACTTTTGTTCTTATGTTTAATATTGAAAACTAAATATCTCCTTTGAAATTACTGACAGTCAAGCTCTCCTTCATAGTACAATCCTATTCCTGTAAGCATGAATATCACTGCTGCCTCAATGACTTGCAATGAGAATTTACCAGTATTTACATAAAAATAGGTACCAATCTGTTCAACTGAGTCTTTTTCTTGAAGCATGCAGAGATATACAGCTTAAGATATACAGCTTAAGATACTGCACTACATGTACAAAAAGGATAACAAATTGTTTAAAAATGTATCTTATAAAAAAAGAAACAGAACCTCCTGCTATACATAGAGCACCTATTTCATACGCTCATAAAACTGTTTAATAAGCCCAATAAAACTGAATAGGACTCATTATGTTAAAGCATTAAATCACAGAATTAAAAAAATTAGAATAAGGAAAAAGAAAAAAGAAATGACGAGAAGCTTTTAATACCATTGATCATGGCATGTTTCTGGACCATTTTCAAGCTTTGGGAGTGGGAAGTACAATGGATCTAATCAGTAATAGTGGGGGGAGAAGGAATCTAGCCCATCTACCCCTTCTTTGTGTGATCTCTTAGGGCCTACTATTTCTTTACTCTTGTCTAACATTTATATTAAGTCACCGGGAAGTCATTCATTGCTATGGGGTCAGGTATCATTAATACGCTGATGAAACCCATCTACACATCACTATCCTAGGATGGCAAAGTGTTCTTTCCCAGTACTGAAGGCTGTGGGGGTGGGGATGAAAGTGTTTCAGCTCAATACATGATCAAATGGCTGTGAGTTTTGAGGTCTCCTAATTCTGAAGATTCTCTTCTTTCAGTTCAGGATTGGATTGGATTTTCCAGTCATACCAACATTCCAGTTGGTATGTAATTTAGGTGGTCCTTTTGGACTGTTGGCTCTTGTTGAAGACCAAGCAGCAGCAATGGCCACGACAGCCTCTTTCAATAGTTCCATCATGTGCTCAATTGTGCCATTCCTAACTTGGTTGACCCTGGTAATTCACATTTGGATTTCTGAAACATGCTTTAGACTGGGTGCTCTTGAAAACCCCCTGCAAGCTGCAATTGGTCCAGAATGGGCCACCTTGAGAGATCTTTGAAAGACCATTCCTCTGTGATCTGCATTGCCTTCCAACGGAAGTCTGTGTAATTCAAGTTGCTGATTATCATCTATGAAGTCACCTGAATTACTTGCAACTCTACCTTTGCTTGTCCCAGGAGAATGAGCAAAGTGAGCAATCTTTAAATCCCTTCTTTGAAGCCATGTCACCTGGAAGGAGCCAGGAAGCATGCCTTCTCTGCTTGTAGCAACCAGCTTATGGAATATGATTCTTCCCAACATTCAGATAGCCCTGTGCTTCCTATCCTTCTATAAAGGCCCTGAAAATCTAGTTCTTCCTCCAGGCACCAGGCCAGACTATGAAATAAACACATGCAGAATGAGAGATTTTTGAATGTGCATACAGTAGCAAATTGGCTATTCTGTTTCTCTTTATTTCATTATATTATTATTCCATTATTTGATTCCAGATGCTTCCTATAATTTTTTTTCTCACACTTCTATATAATTATACATCACCCAGCCATTTTGTAAGTTGGGCAGCCATATCAATGAATCAATCTATTAATCGGTCAAGGAAATATATCACAGCAAGCTCAACATTAGGTTATATCTACATACCTCTGCTGAACAAACAAGTTTTAATTTCTTAGCTAAAACGAGCAAGAAGAGATAAACTGGACTTCCCCAAGGGAAGAAGAAATTTTGTCATAAGGGTACTCTTACCAAAAAGCATGATACTTCGTTTTCAAAACATAGGCTATGCTCTGTAATAAAATCCTTAATATCTCTAAGCTTTTTTCTGTCCATCCTTCCCTGATATTCTTTTTTTAAACTTACTTTCGCATTTGGATAAATTGGCTTGTCTTGATAACTGGTTCTCTACACAATTATTGATAGGAAAGATCATCACATGGCCTCTCATCATATTCTATCTTGCTTACTAGTCAACTGAATTAGCTCATTGTAAGGGCTCCAGTGTACTATAATATAAAGGTGCAATTCTAAAACTTTTAGTTGTATTAGAATTTGTGACTGTCTCAGAGAGCCATGATTGCATTATGTCCACACAAATTACCTTGCTATAGCACCTCAGGCCTATCTCTATGGCAACCCAATAAAATTACTGCAGCCGCCACTCTAGATTTTACTGGACGAATTACAGCTATAATTAACTTTCAAAATATGGCTTATAATGGAAATATATTTAGACGTGCAATTTCTTTTCGATAACTGTATGCCACCAACCATTAATGATGAGCTTAAATGGTTAAAATATTTTTATGATGATAGATCTACACTACTTCCCAACAAAATATGGTAAATAAAGGATTAGGAGATCAGGAGAAGCAAGGACCATGAGCTTCTGTGCTACACATCTTTCAAAGGTGTCTAAAACCATCTCACTAATGAGAATTTCCAGGAAAAAACATTACAGTGCATTACTGTAAATATAAATTATGCAAAAACAAATAGGTCATTTCTGAATTACAGAAGTCTACAATTTTCTATGTGTTTCTCAGAA